GGGACACCGGCGGGCCACACCGTGGGGGCACACAGCCTGGGATGGCCCTTCAGCCCATAATGAAAGTTTTGTAATTTTATGTTAATCCTAGCTCCTCCATGCTCTGATCTCTCTCTTCTCCCACATCAAATGCAAAGCCCTTTTGGAGGCTCCTGGCTGTATTAATCTTATTTTGCCCTCGCCGCCGCATGCTGCGTGCCTTGCAGGCGGCTCCCGGGCTCGGGAAGCACTGCTGCCCCGTCATGTCCCCACTGTCCCTTCCGTGCAGGAGTGGGATTAACCCCACCGGTGGGAGGCAAGGACAGGCATAATTCATTTTTTGTAATAACATGACTATTTTTTAAGCAGGAACTGTTCCTGGGGTGAGCAGTACCGAGTTACAATGCAGGAGACAGAAAGTCCCTGCTTTGAGAGCTGCTATTAATTGAATTTATCCGAATCCTGTCAAGATTACACCTTTTGTGCAATGACCTTCGCCACCATAAAGGCAGCCAATAGAAACGTGGATTTGGGGGATATCTGGGTCTTTCCAGTGACTCAGAGCCAAGCCCTGATCAGGCAAAGCAAAGCCCCTCTCTGCCTCAGTTTCCCCACCTGCAAATCAAGCCGATTCTCTTTTCTGCAGCATTTTGCGGAACCAACGCCCCTAACGCCTCGTCCTTGGAGAGCAGCAGCTGTCACGTCCCCGCAAGCAGGAGCCACTTCCTCATGCCTGCGGTGACAAAAACTCCTGTTGCTGAACAACGGGGCCATGACGTTGTTTGAACCCCATGGCCTCCAACACCTCAAAGGTGACAGGCTCCGATCTGATCCTGTGTCTTGGGTTTGGGAGCACTGGATCCAGCTTTGCTTGGCAAATGCTGCAAGAGACTCATTAGCTCTCTCGTTAGTGCACTGAAGCCTCAACTGAACATTGCACTGAGGATGCAGTCTTTACTCAGTTGTGTTGGTTGAGTTTTCTGCCTTCTGTGCCCATCTTGACAGTGAATGCATCCACCTGGATGAAAATCCCTTCTCCAGGGGAGAAAAAGAGGCTTCCACTCCCTGTTCCACCTCGTGGAGGGGGAAGCAAAGGCCAACTCAGCATTTCTCCACGGCTGATGCTGAGTCATCACATCTGCCTTTCATCTGCCGCAGCAGCTTCGGCGCAGCAAGTGATTCCTCCCGGGCCTGCGGGGACCCTGCGGCTGGCGGTTTGCAGAGCGGGAAGAGCAGCATGGCCGCAGCGCTCCGGCAGGACGGTGGCGGGACCGGGAGTGTCTCAGAGCTGCCGTTCCACCGGTTGCACCCACCGCTGGAGAAACAGTCAGCAATGAGCTGGGTGGGTATTCATAGCCCAGAGATCCGGGTGCACTATGCCCTTTTGCACTGTATTTCAACACACCTTCAAATTGCAGTGTTTCTACCCTTTCTTTTTCGTTTTACCAGAAATAACCCCCGCTGCTGTGACTCTTTGCATTTGACCAGCAAGCCAGGCTTTTTCTGCTGCTTCCCCTTGATGTGGCGTTGCACCTCAGCTTTGCACAGACTCCGTCAGTTTTTACGTGATTTGTCGGCAGGCTGACTCTGTGTACGTTTATCCACCCTTTACACCCCAGCTGGTAGCTGGGATGTGGGCTGGGTGCCTCTATCCCAGCTCCCCCTCTTTGCTCTGAGGGCTCAGTCACCCCATGAGGGGAGGGGCGAGGGCGCCTTTTCCCTGGCTTTGCAGGAGATCCACAGCACTATTCAGGGGAGCACACACAATTGTTCCCCAGGCTCAGTTAGGGGAGATTTCCTTTTGGCTCTGGCTGCGCTTTGAATGAGAGGGTGAGTGTTAGCAGAAAGAACACCAATTGCTATAAAAAAAGAGATGGCTCTGCTGCACAGGGAAAACAACCCTTCCTGATCGCAACAGCCCAGCTGGAAAAAGCGTAAGAGGTGCTGAGTGCTGACCCCAGACAGGGATCTTCTCCTTTGTACCTGCAGGACAAGGTCTGGTCCCCTCTAGCGAGTGTCCCCATAAAACACGGGCAGTCAGTCATGGCTGGGCAGTGTCGCGCACAGAAACGAAGCTCCCAGGCATGGGCTCTTGCGGCAGCCAGAGCCCAGGCACAGCTGTTTGTGGCGTGATAAGGTGGGCTATGAAACGCGCCAAAGTTGTTGAACAAAAGAGGCCCATCGGGCCATTTCAGCTCCTTTCCAGAGCCCGGCATGGCTTGACAAGTGGAAGATGGATGGGAACACGCCGGTCCCTTCACGGGCAGGAGTCTTGCCTCAGAGCAGCAAGAGATGGTGGGAGGCTGGGACTGTCTGTGCTGATAAAACCAACTCCCTGCTCCAGGCTGGACACAGTTCGGGAGGACGCAGAGCCCCATAACTGCCCCAGTGTGTGATAAACCCAGCCACCCCCACCTACGCTGCAGGAGGGAGAAGACAGCAGCTTCTCTGTGGTGGCAGCCTTTCTTTCTGGAAAATGGATGCAGGACAGAGGTAGGGTGATCTGCACTCCTGCAAATGCCTACATTCCCATAATTCATATTCAGCTTTCTATAATTTCATTGCCCAGGGCCAAAATGCCTGTAATCTTCCTCCACACCTTGTTTCTCGCCTCAGGTCTGCAGCAGAGTGGCCTGGGCCTGGGTGTCTCAGCAGGTCAGCAAGGGGGAAGCTGGGTAGCTTTGGAGCTTCCTCAGGACCCCGTGTGCTGTGGGGACGTCGCTGATACTGGACTCGGAAGGGTTCGTCTCGGCCTGGCCGTAGTGGGGATGGCGGGCTCGGGCAGCCAGCCCC